GGGGGGGGGGGAATATTAAGAAAGCGAACGCAAGAAGATGACACAGATAAACTTCCTACCTTGCACGGCACATCCTCCGCTCTTTTCCTTTGTATTCTTCAGGCGCAGATGCCTCCTAATTGGGTTTGATGGAGATTCTGGTGCCTTTGGAAAGCCAAAGAAGGATTCTGAAAACTCCTGCATCCAAGAGCAGTATATCCAAAACTCCTGAGTAACCCAAGGTTAAGAACCAGCGTGTTACATGAGGATTCAACGAGGGCCTACAATCAAAACGATAGACCTAAACTCTCACCAGTTCCTCTTCCTCCTTCTTCTCCACTCTCTGGCTCAGGAGGAAACCTTCCGCCAGCGACATGGCCTGGGAAGTGGTTTCCGGCTTGCACTCTCTGACCCAGATCTTCATCGCTGGTGGCAGGACAGCCAGGAACTGTTCAAGGACAATCAGGTCCAGCATCTCAGCCTTGGTGTGTTTTTCTGGCTTCAGCCACTGGCGGCAGAGACGATGGAGTTGGCTGCAAGCCGACCGGGGACCTTCATCCTCCTGGTAGCTCAATGCCCGGAAATGTTGGCGCTGAACCTCTGGGCTGAGGAATTCGCCGTGGAGGTTGGTCTGTGCTGTTCTGTCCAGGAGGTCCTCTTTGCTCCAAACCTCCATTTCATCTGGCTTTCTATCAGCTTCAGCACTAGCCGAGTCTCCTCCAAATGGAACAGAATGGAACGAGGATTCTACCAAAGACATACAATTGCTCCAGATTAATACCATGAACGACCTATGTGGAGCTTTTCCAAGTCTGAAGGCCCTCACTGGGATTTGAGAAAGGCTCTCTGCTCCTTTCCCAGACCCATGCACTGCTCTCAGTATCTCCTCACCGCTTTGTTCACCTTGCCTGCCTTCTTTCTAGACTCTGCCTCTCTGCTTTCCACCTTTCTGGAGACAGGGAGGAAGACACAGCCCCAGACAGACCGAAAGGAAGACAGAGGTCTTTTCAAGGGAAAGACAAGGGTAACGTGTGAGGTGAATTTTAGCGGCACTAATTGCCTTTACTTATTGCTGTTTTAAAATTTAATCTGCATGCCTATAACACAAGCATGCAAAAAAGAATGCTTTATTCTTAAAGACAGCTGAAATCCCTGTCTTTTCTAGTGTCAGCTTTCCTCCTTCATACTTTGCCCCAGGAATTAATTTCTCCTTAAAACACATTGGCTTTACAAACAGAAACTGCTTCAGAGAAAGGTTCTCTTGGATAGATAAGGGACTCCCAGGGAATTAAAAAGGTACTCCTCCTGATCTGTTCTCAGCCAACATTTCCTACCCCTGAAAGACAATACTATGATTTCCACCAGATATGGAGTTCCCCAAGTTTTGTAGGCAGGGAAAGGAGGCATCTTATTGCATTCAGAAGGAAATGAAAGTGAACAAATGACATTGATTCAGTGCATGGGAAGGAAAGAAATAAGAATTTATATCAAAAGAGAGAGCGAGAGAGCGTTGTACTGCAGAGCAAATATAAGCAATAATTCTGTGAAACAGTGAAGCCAAGAAAAGGGAATAACTGTACAGTATATGGGACTGATTAACTTTAAAGCCAGTTGAGTTTACAAGACCTGATCAAGGGTTTGAGGCAAAGAAGGTTTAATAGCCTGGGTGGGGAGGGGCATAAAAAGTATGGGAAGCTTCAGCCTATTAGAAGAAGGTTTTCCTGGCAAGCAAGGAAGCTGCTCATGGAAGCAAGATTTCGGTGGCCTTCCCTGGGTGTCTGGGAGGAACTGCATGGAGACCCCTTTCTTCTTTTTCCAAAAGCCCCACTGCCTCCGCTTCTCCCCCCCCACCTTTCTCTTGATGGCACAAGGGGACCCAAGGGGACACCCAGGTCCCCTTCCCTTCCTCGTGGGGCCGAGAAGCACAGCACACACTTGCACACACACCTGGTTGTGAGCTGGGGGAGCCTGGGGAAGGGGCCCAAGTTGGAGACCCCACACCACTCCACGAGCACAACGTTTCTCTCCTCTGAGACGACCTGCCCTCAGCTGCCTCTCCCTAAGTAAGGTAAAGGTTCCCCTTGACAATTTTTGTCCAGTCGTGTTCGACTCTAGGGGGCGGCGCTCATCCCCGTTTCCAAGCCATAGAGCCAGCGTTTGTCCGAAGACAATCTTCCGTGGTCAAATGGACAGTGCGACTTAGACACGGAACGCTGTTACCTTCCCACCGAGGTGGTCCCTATTTATCTACTCGCATTTTTACATGCTTTCGAACTGCTAGGTTGGCGGGAGCTGGGACTAATGATGGGGGCTCACTCCATCGGGTGGATTTGATCGTACGACTGCTGGTCTTCTGACCCTGCAGCACAGAGGCTTCTGCGGTTTAACCCGCAGTGCCACCACGTCCCTAAGTATTTGTCTCCAAAAGGACATTAACGGAGTCATCAAATTTCACCCAGCCCACCCCCCAACAAAAAAGCTAACCCACTCCATCGGGTGGATTTGATCGTACGACTGCTGGTCTTCTGACCCTGCAGCACAGAGGCTTCTGCGGTTTAACCCGCAGTGCCACCACGTCCCTAAGTATTTGTCTCCAAAAGGACATTAACGGAGTCATCAAATTTCACCCAGCCCACCCCCCAACAAAAAAGCTAACCCTGGAGCTTCTCTGAAGGCCCTGCAAGGGCATCATCCGCCGCCTGAGATGTCCCTCAAACAAAACCCAGCCGGAGCCCTTCCAGAGACCAGCCTCTTGGGGTGCAGCTTAGGTTGGGGCTCTTTGGCCGGACCCCCCCTTCCCGTTCCCAGCCCGCAGAAAAGACCTCCTCCTCCT